CCAAGACAGGGGGCTGCCTCCACAGGGGAGAGATGATCCTAGACTTCGGTGTTGGTGGTAATAGTTCGGTCACCTTGGAAGCCAGAATATTGCCACCATCACCGAGATCGGGGTCCCCACTCCCTCGGTGGAGAAACACCGCCGATATTGGTGTTGGTGTCAACCTCGAGGCCTCCAGAATATTGCCACCATCACCGAGATCGGGGTCCCCACTCCCTCGGTGGAGGAACACCGCCGATATTGGTGTTGGTGTCAACCTCGAGGCCTGCAAAAAAGGAGATGGTTTGCTAGAAGTCGGTCAGGCCGCCCCTGACCGTGTCACTAAAACAGGGCCAAGATCGGGATAAATCGCTCCAGAGCGTTCGGGAGCGCTCTCAGAGCGTTCCGGAACGCTCTGGAGCGGCCGCGGCGCCCAATACATCCTCCAAACCCGCCGATTCTCGGAGACTTCGGGTTATCCCGATCCGATTTTGTCCCGATCTTCGCGTCGTTTTAGTCACCTCTCCCGTCTGCTTCAGACAGACCCCCCGGGCCAGCCCTGCAGCGCGGTCCTGCCCGGGCCTCCTGGGGCCTTCTGGGGCTTCCTGGGGCCTCCTGGGGCTTCCTGGGACCTCCTGGGGCCTCCTAGGGCGTCTTGGCTGTTCCTGGGGCCTGGGTCAGGCCGCCCCTGACCGTGTCACCTCTCCCGTCTGCTTCAGACAGACCCCCCTGGGCCAGCCCTGGAGCGCGGCCCTGCCCGGGCCTCGGGGCAGGCCCGGCCGCGGCGACAGAGGGCCCTGAGCAGACCCACGAGGAGGAGGAGGAGGAGGGAATGAGGAGGAGGGAATGAGGAGGAGGAGGAGGAGGAGGAGGACGGAGGGGAGGAGGACGAGGGGGAGGAGGGGGAGGAGGAGGAGGAGGAGGAGACGAGGAGGGGGAGGAGGAGGAGGAGGAGGAGGAGGAGGAGGAGGAGGAGGAGGAGGAGGAGGAGGAGGAGGAGGAGGAGGAGGAGGAGGAGGAGGAGGAGGAGGAGGAGGAGGAGGGAGGAGGAGGAGGAGGAAAGAGGTGGTGGAGGAGGAGGAGGAGGAGGAGGAGGAGGAAGAGGTGGAGAGGGAGGAGGAGGAGGAGGAGGAGGAGGAGGAGGAGGAGGAGGAGGAGGAGGAGGAGGAGGAAGAGGAGAGAAGGGCCCAGAGACGTCCACATCCCTCCCCCGACCCTCCTCCGCCCCGTCGCTGAGCGAGCCAACGAGCCCCTCTCCTCCGCCCGCCCCCGACAGAGCGGGATCTGCGCCAGCCTGGGGTCTCTCTGGCCGAGGGACGGCGCTGCCGCGCGCAGAGCGCGACAGCCTTGTCGAAGGCGAGGTTCCTGAAGGACCCTTCTCTGAATCCTCTCAGCGATCGAAGGCGAGGTTCCTTCAGGACCCTTCTCTGAATCCTCTCAGCACACTGTGGTTCAGCCATTGCGGCTTCAGGTGCGCAGCTGCTGTTGCTGCTGCTGCTGCTGCTGCTGCTGCTGCTGCTGCTGCTGCTGCTGCTGCTGCACGGGGCCCCATATGAGATCCATGCCATTCCGCCTCCGCGCATCCTCCACCATCTGCGCCCGTCTGGAGGCATCTCAAGCGGAGCCCGAGCACATGGAGTCGAAGGATCGCTCCGCATCGCCGATGCATCGGCGACACAGCGGCGACACAGCGGCGCCGTCGGCCCGGAGAAAATCGGGCTCCACGTCGAGCCACACAGCCGATGCCTCGGCGGGGTGTGCCGCGGTCCCCCGACCCCCCGCCTGCTCGGACCGCCCCCCCCTCCTGGGAGGCCCGGCCCGTCCTCCTCGGCGAGCCCAGGGGGGAAGCGAGTGGGGGCAGGCCTCCTCAGAGGGCGGTGGGGCTTCTCAGAAGCACTCCGGCCTGCCGAGCAGCCCGCCTCCGTCTCCAGAGAAGGCTCAAGGCAGCTTCTCGGAAGGCGCGAGGGGCTTCCGCGAAAAGCCCCCCGCCGCCCTCTGAGGAGGCCTGCCACCTCTCGCGTGTTCCCCGCCCTGGGCTCGTCGTCCTCCCCCCTCCCCGCGAGGACACGGCCGTGCCTGCCCCGGGGGCCAGCCACGCTTTTGGCGTGCCGCAGCTGCTGCTGGCTCGGGAGGCCCATGATGAGGCGACCGCGCGCGGGACGGGGGGGGCCCCGGCCGCTATAGCAGGGGCAGCGAGCGGCGGGCCCGGCCGGCCAGGCTCGGGGCTGCGCAGACAGAGGAAGGCGAGGAAGAAGCACTCGGAGGTCCGCGCGAATCTAGGGGAACGAGGAATGACATAAACATAAAAAATGAGGCCCGCGCGGACCTCCGAGTTGTTGTGTTTATGCCGTTCTTCGTCCCCCTAGAATCTCCCACAGGCGGTGATGGAAGATGGAGTTGTCCTGAGCAGCGAGTGCTGCTGCGAGGGGCTCGGAGTGCATCTGAGAGACCCGCTCTTCGGGGGATGAGCAGAACCCCCCTTTGCAAAACGCCATCTCTGGCGAATGCTGCCAGAGGCTTATGTTGTTCCCATCCTACTTACAGACCACACCCCAGAAATAATTTCGAGCACCCGGAAAAGTGTCAAAAGAGTGTCGAAACAGTGTCGAAGTCGGGCGAGGGTCTCCCAGGGCCCGACACGTAAAAACCCTGTAGTTTCGGTACTTTTTGGGGCGCTCGAGATTCTTCCTGGTGATCAACTCTAAAATAGGTTGGAGCATCATAACCAGAGGCATTCCACGTGCGCACGGTACCGCATGCCGAGGGCACCCGACCGGAGTAGCCAGTCGACGTCAAAAAAACAGATGCATCCAGCGAGAGGCACGTCGGTTGGCGACATCGACCGGGAACTGCACTGTCGCACTGGAGTGCCAGTGTCGAGTGCATCCGTGCAGATTTATTCTCTCTGGTGCCCTGTCTGGGCAAGCGCTCTCTCTGACTACCTACCAGACCACCCCAACCCAACCCGAAGACCCGAAATTTGTGTTTTTTCAATGCTCCCCGACCCCCCCCCACTGGAAATGGAGGGCAAATTGAGGCCTTCGGGTTGGGTTGGGGTGGTTTGGTGGGTGGTGACTCTCAGTGCCTGAGCTTCTGGGACACAGAGACCACAACAGTGTGCCGCCCGAGTGGCCGTGCCACGTGCGCGCATAGTGCCCGCGTGCCGTGCCACGTGCTGTGCCGTGCCTGTGCTGCGCCGTGCCGTACAGTGGAGGCCAGTCCACGAGACACCTGCCACGGGCAGCCCGGCCCTGAGACCCCGGGACGTCCATCGATGTCTGGCGTGGGAGCGTCACGCTCTCCATCGCAAAAACCATCGACGCCCAAGGAACCCAGGGCAATCTTCGGGCCGGGCGAAAGGGGGGATAGCAAAGGGGGGGGGTCAGAATCAGCTCTCGAAGCTGATTCTCCTGGCTCCTCCCGGCGCCGGGAGGCGCCCATGCATCGAGGAGTGGGCCCGGCGGCGGGGCCGAAACCGGCTGCATGCAGCAGATTTGGTACCCCCCCCTTTCCCAGTCCCCCCCTGTCGTTCGGGCCGAACTCTGGAGGCAGGCGGGGTGCTTCTTGGCAGGGGCCCCCCCCACAGCACACGGTGCGCAGGGCAGACCGCGCCCCGTGCCGCGCCGCGCCGCAGTGCTGCCGAGCCCGCGCGCCGTGCCCGCGCGACCCGTGCCGTGGCCCCGCGTGGCGGTCTGGGCGTGCGCGGGCGCGCCGTGCCCGGAGCGCAGCACCGCGGGCGAGAGGGAGCGGGGCCGCGCCGCGTGCCGCGTGCGCGCCGTGGCCGCGTGCGCGCCGTGGCCGCGCGCGCGCGCCGAGCCGCGGGGGCGCGCGCGCGTGCGCACGCCGCGCCGCGCCAGCGTGCCGGGCCCGAGCTCCAGAGCGCGAAGAGAGACAACAGAACATCCACCCTCACGGTCATCGCCCCAACACGCGAAGTCGTCTAGCAAACGCACCCAGAGAAGGAGTCAAACAGGGCAGGGCTGCCTTAAAAAAAAGGCCCAGAGCCATCTAGCAAGCGCCCAGTATCGGGTCCGGGTGCGTGATAAGAATCGGCAGCGAGCCTGGAGAGAATGCAAAGAATCTAAGATCGGGGGCTACGTAATCTGCAGACTTGCATCCCCGCTGGCCTTCTGAGAAACTCCTCGTGGCCACGGCCGGGTTCACCGTGAAGCTCTGGTCAAGACGCAACCCAGGACAGGTCCCAGGGGCGAATCTTGGTGGCGAGCGCGGGGGGGGGGAAGTGAGAAGGGGCGGGCCTTTCCAGAACGCTCGGAAGTCCCCCGGCCCTCTGAGAAATTTTCTGAGCCTCCCCCGACGGCACAGAGGACTTCTCAGGAGGCGCGAGGGCTTCTGAGAAGCCCCGCCGCCCTCTGAGAAGGCCTTCTCCTTTGCACTTCCACCTCGCTCGACGCCGAAAGAAAGGGACCGTGCCGTGCGCGTGCGCGTGCGCGTGCCCGCATGCCGTGCCCCCACGCCGCGTCTGGTTTTCAGACGCCACGTCTCTTCTCGTGCGGCGATGCTGCCCAGGATCTCTACATGCTGGCGTTTTGCTTGCTTCTCTGGACCAAGACAACAAACATACACACACACACACACAGACACAGACACAGACACAGTCACACACACACACACGAAGGGCAACGATCGGGGGGCACTGGCACAGGGGGGAAACATCGACCTGGAATCGGCGACACATCGTCGATAGATCGGCGACAGGCCCCCCCGAGAGTGACGCCGCACCCTCCCTGGGCGGGGGTGGGCTGTCGGACCCCGGCCGGCGAGCCACGGGCGATTGCGGGTCGATGCGTCCCCCCCCCCCATGCCTGCTCCTCCCGGATCGCTGCCCCTGCGCGGGCAACGGGTGGAAGTGCTGACTGCGACCGAACAGTCTCGTAGGCACTCTATACAGATGTGTACATCTAGCAACGTAATGGCACAAACAAATCGGGGGGCCAAAAGAAGAATCCGACTCCCCCGGCAGCCTTCGAGAAAGCCCGGAGGGCGTCGCGAGGAGGTTCTCGTCCTCATCCTCCTCCCCCTCCTCCTCCTCCTCCTCTTCCTTCGCCTCCTCCTCCCCCTCCTGGCCCCCTCGATCAGGGTCGGCAGCACCGGCCGCCAGGCCTCTCCCATCAGACCCGGGCACCGCCGAGAGAGAGAGAGAGAGAGGGCACGACAGGGGCCGCCCTCGCCCCGCTGCCCTGGCCCCCCAGGAGCCCGGGGACGGCCGGCCCAGCCCGGGGCCGGGATCGGGGCCGAGGAGGCAGGGGGAAGGGCCGAGGCCTCCGCGCGCGGCGTCCCACGACGCCGCGGCAGGCAGGCGAGCTGCAGGCAGGCAGGGTGCGCGAGAAGCCTGCAGGTCGGGAAGGGGGCGTGGCACAAAGGGGTACATGGTGCCGATCGTGGAGGAAGTGGTGACGCTGTCTGCGGTCAACGAGCGAGGAATTGCATATCGCCAGGTTCTCCTTGTGCATGAAGTGAGCACCACACCCCCTTGTACCATACGCCTCTCCTGCCTCCGACAAAAAGGACGCAGGGGCCTCGGGAGGCCATGTCGACACCCTGCGAGCGGGACGCGGCCAAGCGGCCAAGGATGGGCCGAAGGGGCAAGGCTGCAATGGGTGCCCTTTTGGGAAGGTGGCCCGTCCTTTCTTAGGCGGGCCGACCGCAGAGATGGCTCCTCCCCCGCACCGGCTCTGACTCCGAGCAGTTTCTGGCGGTCGCAGGACCCAGCGAGGGCGCCCAGGGGCAGAAAGCACCAGGAACACGGCCGTCATGGCGATCTGGGATCGTCTGTCGGGGGTGCGCAAACATGGATTAGCAATCCGTGGACCTGGCGCGCGGTCGCCAAATCCATGGCGCCGCCTCGCTCGGCGGCGCGGAAATCCGCGATCGCCCATGGAAACGGGACCCGTCGCTTCTAATCCACGCCCCCTTGATCCGTGTTTGCGATCGCCTGACCCACGGGCAGAAAGCAGCATGCGCGAGGCGGTCTGGGCTCGTCTGGGATCTTCTGGAGTCCCGAAACGGTGCGGTGACAGACCGTGCGGTGACCTCGAAATTCCCCCAAGACCTCACCGCACGGCCCGTCAGCGCGCGGCTCTGGGACCTCGGAGGCCCCAGTCGCCCGAGACGTCCTCGGAAAACGGCCCGAGTCCCAAAACCGTGCGGTGACCTCGAATCTCCACCGCCGACCAGCCATAACTGGGGAGCTGTGGTCCTTACCCCCCCCCCAGGGGAACCCATCGCATCGATGATCCCTCGAGAGTGGCGTCGAAAGCGACGGGCCCCCCAGGGGGGCAAGGACCACAGCAACCCCAGGTTATGGCTGCCACCGACTCACCACCCGCTGTGGTCACCCCCCGTGGAAGGGGCCCCCGAGGCCTGGGGCCGCGCAGCCCGGGGGGCCCCGGGCGAGCAGCTCTCCCGCGTGGAGGCGAGGCCGCCGAGGGCCGCGGCGCCGGCCCTCCGCTGCCAAGCGCCCTCCCCGTGGCCTGCCGGGCCGCCCCTGCCACGCGGCGCGCGCCCCGCGCCGGTGCCCCCCTGCCCCCCCCCCTCCTTGCAGGGAGGTCGACGCTTTCCCGCGTCGGTGCAGTATGTGGCCTGGCCTAAGGAAGGATCCATAGGGAACGAGCCCCCTTTGTTTTCCAGGTGAGTCTGGGAAGTCCGAAGGAACACCAGGGGGGCTCGCCGCCAAGAAGGTGGCGGAACGCATGCAAACCAAAGGAACGACCGAGCCCCTTTTGAAAAGTAAGTGCTCCTTATTCAAGCTGGACCCTGCAACTTGATTAGCCAGCGCGGACCCAAAGAGCGGCTTCTCTTTTTTATTACAATGCACAACGACCTCGAGATGCACTGGTCAGGCTGTGCACCATCTGTCCGGCCCCGCCGCCCTGGCCAAAAGCCAGGGGGAGGGGGGGGGGGGGGGTAAAACGCCGAGCGCGGGAAAACCCTGGAGGGGAAGAGAGGGGGAGGAGGAGGGGAGAGGAACCGGTGCAATCCAGGTGGTGCAATCCAGGTGGTGCGATCCAGGTGGTACAGCCAATGTGGTGCAACCAATGCGGTGCAACCGATGTGGTGTAAAGCATTGCAAAGCTACGCAAGGCAATGTAATGGAAAGGAACGCACAGCAATGCAACGCAATGCGATGCAAAACAATGCACAGCAAAACCATGGAATGCAACGCAACGCAATGCCGTGCAATGCAAAGAAATGCATTACAACGCAAAGCAATGCGATTGCAATGCACTGCGCTTGCTATACAATGCACTTCAATACGATTGCAACGCAATGCCCAGACGACAAGCGGCGACCCGCGGCGACAAAGCGGCGGCGGGGCGGCGACGGGGCGGCGACAGGACGGCGACGGCGGCCACACAGCCGCCAGACCGGCACCGCCGCCCAGCGACGGGGCGGCTGTTGCTGCTGGTGGCGAACGGCGAACCTGGGAGCGCTTGGGGAGGGAGTGTGGCGTCTGGGGGCGGCTGGGAGCGTCGATGAGCGTCTGGGAGCGCCTCGGACGGCCTGGTGGGCGCTAGGGTCCACGATCGGAGATGGCGAGGGGTGCTCGAAATGCACCGACTTCTCATGTATTTGCGATCGAGTCCTTGTGCTTTGTGTTCTGCCTCTTGTGCCCGGGGGCACTTCGGGGCCAGGGGGTGGGTCGCTGTTGAAGATCAACAACTGCGCGCCGAATGATATGTTCTTTTGACTGAGGGTGGTGGGAGGGTCGGGTGGGTGTGCACCCAAGTGCATGTTTTGCATCGGGTGGTGAAGGTTGTGCCAAACAATTGTTTAAACATCGGATGACGCAGGTTGGGTCGTATGGATTTGCGCCGGGTGATTTGCATAAGATGGTGAGGGATGGATCGGATGGATGTGCTCCGAATGATTTTCGATTACGTAGGATGCTGAGGATTGGGTTGGTCGTACGGATGTGAGCAGGCTCGTATTTCGTTTTGCATTGTCTTGTGAGGGTTGGGTCGTACGGACGGATGTACACCGAGTGATACGTTTTGCACAGGATGGTGATGGGGATGTGCGCGGCGCTACGCCGACAGCCACATTTTGAAAAAGAGCCGGCCTCAATCTTTTAAACGAATACGCACGGCGCTAAGGCGAGAGCCACACTTTGAAAACGAAACGGCCTCTATCCTTGACACGGGTGCAAGTTTTGAAAACAAACGTGCGCGGCGCAAGGGCGAGAGCCCCGCGTGGAAAACCACCTAGGTTCCATCCTTGAGGCTGCTGCAAGTCTTGAAGACGAATGTGCGAAGCGCTGAAGCGAAAACCACAGGTTCAAAACCACCCCATGGCCCCATCGTCCCTCGGACCCGCTGCACATGCCAAGCTTCAGGGTATCATCCTCGGCAAAAACACCTCAAGGGGAAACGCCCGGCCCGGCCTGCGGACACGCCACGTGTGGCGCGACAGGGAGAAGCTGTCTGCACGGAGAGCTCGAGTTCGGGGGCGCGCAAAGACGGATTCGCGATCCATGGACTCGGCGCGCGGTCGCCAATTCCACGGATCGGGGGAGGCGCCCTCGCCAGAATGCGGCCGGTGCCGCCTCGCTCGGCGGCGGCAGAATCCGCGAGCTCCCACGGAAGCGGGACCCGTCGCTGATCCACGCCCCCATGGATCCGTGTTGCGATCGCCCGAGAGAAGCTATCTAGGGAAGCGAACTCTATACACCGACGCATTTCCCGACCCTGCGCTGAAATTCACACAGGAACGCGGATTCTGGTGTATACGGGATCCTGGTGTATACATGTTTCTTTGTTTCCCCGGGAGAACGGGGAAAAAGTATACACCACACCACCCCGACGTCGCCCCCGACTCTCAAAAAAGTCCTGGGATTGGAACACCGCCCGCCACTGGTAATGTATGTGCTCCAGTTTCCGACTGTCTGCACGAAGAAAAACTGGAGGGCCCGGGAGAGGGCCCTCCCCCGTGGGGAAGGCGGCGGCCGCGGCGGCCCCCTCGGCCGCCGCAGCCGTCCCCAGGCCCGCGCCGCAGGCGGGCGGCCCGGCCGCCGAGGGCGGTGGGCGGGCGGGGGGCCCCGAGCAGGCCGGGGTGGGTCCCAGACCACCTCGCGTCAGTGGAGAAAGTCGCGGCGGACTGGCTGCTTCCGGGGCCCTGCTTGGATCGCCGCGGGGGCTGCTAAGAGGACAAGGGGGTGGGTCACAAGTGGGTGCTGCTAAGGTGGGTTCTATACCAGCCGAACCCAGCGTAGCCAAGGGTTGCACGTGCCCCAAGTGGCTCAAGGGCGTACAGATCTGGGCTAAGTGGGCGGGGCCCTTAGCGGAGTTACCTCATCATCCTGAGGCACATAGGGCACTTGTAACCCACTTGCAATGTGGATTAGCCAAGATAAAACCCACTTCAGCATCCACTTCTAACCCCAACCATCCCCTTCGCAACCATCGCGGCGATCCAAGTGTGGGCCCCTACCGGGCCCCGGGACCGTCAGAAAGCGACTCACCATGAAAAGCCCGACCCGGGGAACGGCTCGGGACATCCGGGTTCCACGTACGGAAAGAATCAAGGTATCGCATATCTAAGGTGAGGAGTGGGCAGGAGGAGGCGTGGAGTGAGGAGCGAGGAGGAATTAGGAGGCAACTACTGGGAGGTCTTCGTCGGAAATATTAAAGACGTAAGCCCCACTGGGGGTCTGCTACGCCGGATCAGGCCGCGGATTAAGCGGCACTAAGCCGAGTGAAGCGGAACTAAGCCGGAATAAGCGGGACCAAGCCGGGTTAGGCGGGATTTCGGACAAAGGCAAAATCCGAACTTGACCTCCCAGGAGATGCATCCGACGAGGAGGGAGGGCCGCCTCTCAGTCCGAATCCGGGGGTTCAACGCAACTGCCCGGCTCACTGCGGAGAGGCGTAGGATCTCACGCGCTGCAGGCACTTCGCCATGTCCCTCTGCGCCACTGTCCGGGTCTTGGCGTTGGTGTTCGGCTTCATGAGCGCTGCGAGGGTGGGGACGTCCTTATAGTCCCAGGAGGTCAGCTGGTCCAAAATCTCCTGCGCTGGCGTGCCAGCGCGCTCCAGCCACTCGGGAATCAGCTCGATGGTCATGAAGCACGGGGGGTACTTGGTAAACAGCTGCTTGGAGCCTCGGATGAACTTCCCCTCGTAGCCCTCGATGTCGACCTTGGCGATGACAATGGCCTTCATCGCTGGGTTGTGATAGAGCATGTGGTCACCGGTGGTGAGCGGCACAGAGAACTCCTTCACCACAACCTTCTGGGCGTACTTCTGTGCCTTCTTGCCCGGGTGGAACAGGTCCTGCAACTGGTCGTCGGTCATGTTGGTGAACGGCTTGTTGCCCTTGATGGCGGAGCCGCCCTTGTTGACAGGGTTGAGTGACATGGTCACCCGCCTCGGATCCCCAGGCGCGCCCACGGCGTAGGGGTACACGTCCACGTTCTTCAGCCTGCTGTCCAAGATGCCCGCCACGAGGTGGTCAGCCGTGGGCGGCATCCCCTCCACGGCGAGCACCCGCCCGCCGTCTCCGAGGCAGTCCGCCAGGGGAATGGCGAAGGTGCCGATGTTGGCCCCGATGTCGAGGAAGTTGCCGACGGCGCCGCTCTCGCGGTAGAGGCGGCACAGCTCCTTGACGTGCCCGTTCTCCCACCTCGGTGGTTCACAGGTGGGGTCCTGAGGGATGGGGCCCTCCTGAGGACGGGAAGGGATCCAAGGGTGGATTGACATCCTTTGAGGCACCTCGTCCCTAGAGCCCCCTCCCTCAGGACCCCATCTTTGAACACCTCGTCCTTAGGACCCACTCCCTCAGGACCCCATCTTTGAACCCCCGACCACCCGTTCCCCGCGAGGAGCTCAGCGGACACCAGGGAGTCCTCCCAGCGGCCGAAGGCGGCGATGCTGAGGTTGTAGTCGCCCACGAGGCTCCGGACCTCGGCGTGGTGGAGCGAGCTCGCCTCCACGGTCAGGGGGCCGTGGGACCAGTCTGCGAGGTCCGCGGGCCTCGCTCGGGCGCGGCTCCCAACCCACCCCCCGCAGACCGCCCCCCTCCGTGACGTCGTCTTCGCCCTTCGAGCTGCCCTCCGGCCGCATGCATGCGCCTTCCCAGACCTGCGGCGCCCTGGCTTATCGGGAGCGGCGAAGAGGGGGGTGTCCAAGAGGGGAAGTGCAAATCATGACCGGCGGCATGTGCGCGGCCCAGCGGGGGGGCCAGGGACGTAATGGAATAAGAAGAGGCGCCATGAAATCTGGGGAAAAATCATGGCCCCCGCCATGATAGCCACCCCCCCCCTGGTCATCACCCCCCTCTTTTCCGCCCCCGAGCTTCTGCAGGACGGCGTCCCCAGAAGTCCCGACCCTCTCCCCTGGGGCCGGCGTCTGACATCCCTGAGCCGTGGCTCGACGCGCCCGAGGCCCGGCGAGGGCGCCCCGAGGCCGAGAAGCCTCCCGCCCTGGTTGGTCCACGGCGCGATCGTGTCTGAAGGGGAATTGGGACACACAAATAAATACACACAAATAAAAATATCCCCCATATTTTCCCATATTTTCTGGGTTTTTGTATTCCCCCCCACTTCCCATGATTTCCTATATTTTCTGGGAATCGCCGATTAATTGTGTCTGTGTGTTTTTTCCCCTCCTGAATGTCATGGCCGGGGGGCCGTCACAGAAGAGGGGATGCTTTGCTGCGGGCTCCGGTGAGGCCGCCCCTGCGCCTCGGGTTGCCCGCGGGGTTCTCCTGGCTCGCCTGGGCGAGGCTCCGCGACTCCGGCTGCGACGGCGCCAGGGCCGCGGCGAGGTGCCCGGCGGCAGCGCAGGCCGCGGCGGCGAGCTTGAGGGGGGCCATCGCCATGGCCAGCGCTCGGCCACCCGACCCAAATATACCCGGCGCTCCAAAAAAACTGGAGTGGGCGGTTTTTGGGCCGTTTTCGGCCTCGGGGGGCCCTCGCTGGGCCTCGGGAGCGTCAGAAAATTACTCGGGACGAAAGAACCGGTGCCGGGGAAGGGGTCCGGACCTCTGGGGCCCACGCATCGAAAAAATTGGAGCAGCCAGACGTTTGGGAAGGATCCTGCAGCGGGCTACGCGCGTTCTGAGGGCTTCGCGGCGCGGAACGGCCGGCTACGGAACAGTACAGTCTCTGGTGGGCCGCTGGAGCCAGATCGGTTACGGAAGTGATGAGGAGGAGGAGGAGGAGGAGGAGGAGGAGGAGGAGGAGGAGGAAGGGAACTCGCTGATCCGTGCACGCGCTACTGACGGGAGCTACGCACAGAGGACGTAGGACGGAGGGAACTCGGAGCTACGCCCCCCGTCGGTAGCTCCCAGGAGGACGCAGGACGGAAGGAGCCCAGAATTCCAAGCTCCGCACAAGAACTCCATTGGGAGCTAATGACGAGGGAGTGCAAGAACTCGAGGTCGCTTGCAGACCAGAGGATGGAGAGAAGAGGAGGAGGAGACGGAGGAGGAGGAGGAGGAGGAGGAGAAGGAGGAGGAGGAGGAGGACAAGGCCAGGTTACACCACCCTAAAAACAAGGTGGCACTGTCACAGCTGACGGGAGACGTGCCTGCCGACTATTGCCGTTGTTCGGCGGCCGCGAGCTGTGTGCAACTGTGCGCTCATCCTTCGGCAAAGGCCTGAGCACAGCGCAGGCCACAGAGGGAGGAGTGGGAAAAGGAGGAGGAGGAGGAGGTGGAGGTGGAGGAGGAGGAGGAGGTGGAGGAGGAGGAGGAGGAGGAGGAGGAGGAGCAGGAGGAGGGGTAGGGGGGGGAAGGGGGAGGGGGAGCGGGAGGGAGAGGGGGAGGGAGGAGAGGGGGAGGGGGAGGGGAGGGGGAAGGGGAGGGGGAGCACAGCGCAGGCCTCAAAGGAGGACCAGAAAGGTGGCTCTGGGGGCGCAGGCGGGGAGAGGAGAGTCCTGGCGTCGGGTTGTCTGGGCACGTGGCCCCAAGACCTCTCCGGGCCCCTTCCCCACCTCGGGGGCGCGCAGGCCTGGATTAGCGATCTATGGATTTTGGCGACCGCGCGCCAAATCCATGGATCACTAATCCAGAGAGCAGTTTTTAATTCCGAGAGCAGTTTTTGACAGCCGCAGGGCCTCGCTGGGCCCCCAAGGGCAGAAAGCACCAAAAGCACGTCCGCCATGTGTCCTTCACTGCGCGAGGTTTGTTGACGGTCTCGGGGCCGGGCGGGGGCCCCCCGATGCCGAAAATAGCGAGAAACCTCCCGTCGTCATTGTTTCACGACGCGAGGGGGTCTAGGGAGATACCCATCAGTCGGAAGAAGTGGAAACATGAAGTATGAAGGCGTTGAAAGTAGATTGGTGTCCGTCCGCCCCCTTGGGAGGACGGAACAGGTGAAGCCACTCGATGACTGAAGTAGGAAGGCGGTTAGAATAGATTGGAATATGGGAATCCAGAAATACCTACTTTCAACGACAGATGGGCACAGGTGATTTTTCCACAACCTCGACCCCAGAGGTCTGGACCCCTTCCCCGGGACCAGTTTTTCATCCTGGGCCGTTTCTTGACGGTCCCGGGGCCCTGCGGGGGCCCCTGGAGGCCGAAAATAGCGAAAAGCCCCTCGCCGTCATCTTTGTTCTACGACGCGAGGGGGTCTGGGGAGATGCGAGGCCCTCGGGGCCTCCGGGCCCCTGGAGAGGCGCGGGCGCCGCCCGGCGGCGTCGCCTGGGACCCGCGGCGCGCGGCGGGCCCAGAGCCTGCCGGGGCGGGCGGGCCGGCCCGGCCGACGCGGCCGCGCGCGGGTGCCGCCGGAGCGAGGCGCTCTCAGAGCAGAGGGATGCTCGAGGCGCAAGCCCAGACAGGCTCGCGTTAATAAGAAAATCAGGACGGCAAGCTTTTCTCTACTTTCGGCCCTTGGGGGCCCTCGCCAGGCCCCGGGACCGTCAAAAAACGACTCGGGATGAAAAACTGGTCCTGGGGAAAGGGTCGGGACTTCCAGGGACGCCGTCCTGAAAAAATCAGGACGTCGCATGTCTGGGAAGTCAACGTCCTTCTTTAAACACACGGAGGCAACTCGCGGGGAGACATAAGACTCGGGTTCGGGGGACGCGGGCTGGCCCGACGGGGCCATCACGAAAACGACGATGGCCTAGTCTGAAAGTTGACGCGAGCTCCCGCTGCAGACATCCCACGAAAACTGGACCGTCAAAATCCAGGGCGGGCTCGTCAAAAAGCGACGGCCAACCCGAGTTCTGCGCACTCGAGTATTACGTTTCCCCGAACAAAGTCAACGTCCTTCTTTGAACATTCGGTGGCAATTCATGGGAGCCACCCATGCCATCTGGTCGGCTCTTGCGAATCGACGCTAATCGACGCTACATCAACGCTAAGCCGGCGCTAATCGACGATAAATCGACGCCAATCGGCGTCTAACCGACATTAAATCGGCGCTATATCATCGACTCCGGACGCTAATCGACGGTAGAGACAGGATTATGAGGGTATACCAGGCTCCCATGATCTGCGATCGAATAAACAGAATGACGATGTGATAAAACAGCATGGTCTCAGTCAGAAATATTATAAGAACACGTTGTGCGAGCCATGACAGGCTCTTAGAGCATGGTTCGGTGGGCCTGGAAGCAAGCCAGGACGCCTCGCCACTGCTTGAAGAGGCCCCATCGAACGCTCCTCGGGGGCCCCGAGGACTTTAGGCCACCAAACTGCGCGCATCGCGCCCCGTGATGCGCAACGCACGATTGCCCTACCAGACATGATCGCGGCGTTTGAGATAAACATTATGTAGTTATATATATATATATATATATATGTAGAGGAGAAGAAGAATGAAAACAAAAAAACGGAACGTTGTTGGGTAAGTTTCGGCCTCCAGTGGCCCTCGACGGGCCACAGGCCCGTCAAGCAGCAGCTCTGGATGAACAGCCAGCCCTGGGGAAAGGGTCGGGACTTCGGGGGACCCCCGCATTGGAAAAAAAACAAGGCATGGTGTAGCACACCGCAGCTGTGGATAAGAGGGGGCGGGCGCGGGCTGGGGCGGCTTGGTCGCGGGCAAGTCTCGGGCGGGTCGCGGAGCGGGTCGCGGGCTGGGTCGCGGGTGGGTCGCGGGTGGGTCGCGGGTGGGTCGCGGCGTGGGTCGCGGAGTGGGTCGCGAGTGGGTCGAGGGCGGGTCGCGTGGTGAGCTCGTTTTCCACCACCACAACCAGAAGTAGGAGGGGCAGGGGGTCCTCCTCCTCCTCCCTCCTCCTCCTCCTCCTCCTTCTCCTCCTCCTCCTCCTCTTCCTCCTCCTCCTCCTCCTCCGCCTCCTCCTCTTCCTCCTCCTATTCATCCTCCACCTCCTTCCCCCCCCCAACTTGTGGTGGTGGTGGGAAACAGGCCCGTCGTCGCGGGTGGGTCGCGGGCGAGGACGACGACGACAGCAGCAGAGCGCAACGCAGCAACCACCGGCACCGCGGATATGGACTCCCGCCCTCGCGCCCTCGCGCCGCCCCCCACTGGAGAGAAGTCAACCGCTCTGGCGCCCAGGCCGCAGCGCGCGAAGCGCATGCAGATGTTGGAGGAAAACTACAAATACTCAAAACAAATACTCAAAAATTGTCCACAACAACTAAACATGTAACGAACAAAGAAACAAAAAAACGACATCATGATTTGTTTCATGACGTCGACCCCCATAGGTCTGGGCCCCTTTCCAGGGACTGGCCTTTCATCCTGAGTCGGTATTTGACGGCCCCAAGGCCTGGCAAGGGCCCCCAAAGGCCGAAAAGAGCGAAAAACCTGTCGTCACGTTTCTTTCCTGATCTGGGGGTCTGGGTTACGCTTGGCGGCGCGCAAAAGGGGGCAGGGGGAGGGGGAAGGCTTCTTAGAAGGAGGCTGATTATTGGAAGGCGCAGGCACTACATCTATTGACAAGGCCCGCGCCTTCTAAGAAGCAGTGGTGGGGTGCTTCCAAGAAGCCTTCCCCCTTCCCCCGAATTTGAACAGCCAGAAAAATACCCATAATCCTTTGGGTTAGGAGCGCCAGGAACCTGCTCTGCAGGTGTACAAAACCAAGCCGCCCAGATCTATTTCCCCTCATGCAATGACGGGGGCTAAAGTGAGGCCACGTCTTCACTGTGTTCTTCAAGTTATGGGTTCTTTCATTCTCGTTGATGATTATCCCCTCTGCGCGTGGCTGATACGAACCCTTGGACGAGACTCCCAGGAGCGGCGACGGCTTCTTCGGCGACGGCAGCGGCGATAGCGGCGACGGCGGGCAAGTCGCCGTCGTCGTCGTCGAGCGTCGTTGAGCGTCGTCGTTGTTGTTGTCGTCGTCGTCGTCGCCGCCTCCGCGGCCACGCCGGCCTTCGCGCTGGCCGCCGCGCGACGCTCCAGCAGCCGCGCGGCGTGCGCGCGGGCGCCGCGCCGCCGCTCGGCCACGGCGGCGGGGCCTGCAGGGCCGCCGCCGGCCGCCGCGGCCTGGGCGTCGGGGCCAGCCAGCGCGGGGTCGGGAGGAGGGGGAGGAGGAGGAGGAGGAGGAGGAGGAGGAGGAGGAGGAGGAGGAGGAGGAGGAGGAAGAGGAGGAAGAGGAGGAGGAGGAGGAGGAGGAGGAGCAAGAGGAAGGGGAGGAGCAGCAAGAGGAGGAGCAGGAGGAGCAGGAGGAGGAGGAGGAGGAGGAGAAGTGGAGCTTCTGTTTCCCTGTCTGCTCCGCGCACAACATTCTGGGTGCCCAGTTTGACGCCTCAGGGAACATGGCTAGTGAAGTCACGTTTCGGGTCTCTAAAGCGAGAGCGGCTTTGGCGCCCATGAAGGCCACGGTGGGGCCCAGGGTGGTCCTTTCCCTCTCTGCTAAAGTCCTTTACTCGGAAGCAATGTCAGCCTCTGTGCTCCTGTATGGAGT